GTGCTCTTAGGCAGCCTTCTCTTCTTTTAGGTGACCTGGCTCTGCAGCCTTGCCGTTCAAGTGCTCCAAGGGCAGCTGAGCAGCCTCTGCTGAGACCAGAGGCGATGGGACCCGCTGAGCCACGTGCATGCAGGACAGCAGCGTCACAGACAAGCTGGCCCCCGCTCAGACAAGCCCCGAGAGGCACTAGCCCCTCTCCAGGTACCTGCTGCCACGACTGGGCGCTGATTCTTGTTTAATGCGTGGCCGAGACCAAGTTAGCCGCTGCTGCTCTTGTACCCAGTGCTGCCAAACTCACATCATTTCTGCCACTCGCAGGAGAACAGGATGGTTTTACTTCTCTTGTCCCTCAGGCCAGATCCTGCTTCCCACATAGAAAACTTCCCTGGCCCTTTGGCCTCCCACTCACACAGAACAAGGGATGAAGAGTCACAGCTGCCTCTCAGTGCTCGTCACGAGCATAGGGATGTGAAGGCGGCTGAACATCCCCGGCAGCAGCACGCTGCTCTGCACCCAGGCTCAGAGGGTGAGAGGTGCCAGGATGCCTGGGAAGGCGCCTCTGCTTGGAGCCTGCACTCTGCAGCCCAGGACAGGGTACCCGCTCGCCTGCTGGCTGCTTTGTGAAGGCAGGCGGCCTGTGCAACAAGATCAGCACAATTTGGCTGAAATCTAGGAGCAATCTAGACTGGCAGCCTGTGAATCCTGGCCTTTGCTGGAGAGTCCCGAGACCCCCATTAAAACCTGCAACTCTTTTTTGGCAAGCAGCATCTCAAACAAACATTTTAAGAACTGCAGTGTGCATGTCAGTAAGATGAGTAACTTCTTGGCAAGACTCAACTTTATTTTACTGAGGGCCAAGAAATCATCAGATAAAAAGAAGTTCCTGACCCCAAGATCCTGTAGCCAACAGCAGAGTTCACACACATTGAATCCACGTATGAAGAGAGATGGAAGCTGCAGGAAGTCCTCCCTTGTCCTCAGTGCCAAATTCGGCCCAGAGGGAATCCTTATAATTTAAATATCAACCCAAGGAAAGAAATGAAAGAACAGATTTCACTCCCTGTTGCTTCTTATCTCTCAAGGATTCCCTGCATCCTCATTCTCTGGAGCAGGATTTTCCCACTTATTCTACCTGGAACTTATCAACAAGCTGAAATATTGACATTTCCCCTCTTCCTTCACCTTTTCCCTCCCGTGAAACAACTGCATCAGGGCTCTACACTTCCAGCCACAAGGCAGCCTGCATGGTGCTTTGGGACACAAAACGCTTTACTAACCCTCGACAAGATTTGCAGCTTGCTTTCCTGCGAGCAGAAACCAGAGGAAAGCAACGCAAGCCCTGTTCAGCAATTTGCTGTTGCATATGCACAGCCCTGTTTCTCAGGGGATGTGGCCCAAGACTTCACCCTGTTCCACCACGGATCCCTTCTTTCTAAAGGTGAAGTTTCCATAAAGAATCTGGCCTTGACCCTGCAGGCTCCTGAGTGCCCTGAACTCCCAGGGATTTCAAGCAAGATGAAGGAGAGGAGACGGAGCGCTGAGCAGGACCGGTCCCAGAGCATGCAAGGTGTACAGACTGGGAGCAGACATCTGCTGACCCGGTGAATCACAGAGCGGACTTGAAAACAAAACGAGATACAACTGATCAGGAAGACAGCAAAATTCCTTGCAATTGGTTTGCAAAAAGAAGTGGCCATCCACTGCAATTTTCATGTCAGGTTTGAAAGGAAACACCCATGTCGCATATCCCCGCATAAATGAGCTGGAGATTTACAGAATTGCCTGCCTCCTCCTGGACTGCTCCTCACCCTCCCCAGAAAAGTGGGCTCTCCTACACAGCGCAATATTTGTGAAACCACCGTGGCTGGCTAACCCGTCTCCTTGCTGCTAGGTTTGCAGCCCTCTTCCGTTTGAGACTTCTGCACAAGAAACTGAGGGGCAAGAAACAAAGCTGCTTTTCAGCTGGCACTCTGCAGGGGACGGCTCAGCAGCCCGAGGGCCCTGAGCATCAGGGGCTGACCCTGGTTACACACATCCTTCTGCTCTGTGCCTTGGACCCCCCTCCCAGCTCCTCAATTTCCCTCAAGCCTTCTGCACCCCAAGACCAGTCACAAAAGAGAAGGGAGGCTCCAGACTGCAGAGGAGCATCCCCAGAGCCACAGCCAGCTCCTGTCCCACTGCAGATGGGAGCAGAGCTCCTACAAGAGGTGAGAAAGTAGTAGGTTAGCCATTCCTGACTCTTCTTCCAGCCTCAGCTCTCTGAAAATAGGTCGTTTATTCGGCTGGGTGGGCAGGGCTGTGTCAGGAGGAGCAAGGCTACTTATAACCGGGGAGGAAAGGGAAGGGCAACCTTGGGCAGGGAAACGGACAGTTCCTCCCATCTCTGAGGTGAGAGCAGTTGCGAGCAGGAAGGAGGGGTGCTTCTCCGAGCTCTGCCGGAGACAGCGGTCAGGACCGCTCAGCTCTTGGGACGACCGGGAATAAGCAGGACGACTGTGTTACAGCACAGCGCAGGCCCCGTGGTGGGTACTGAAGGACTGTGCAGGACGCACAGTCGCTCTGGAGAGAGGCAGGCAACACGGGATCCGAGGAAGCCAGCCCGCCTCTGAGCTGAGCACCCCCTCCTCGACCCTCGTCCTGGGGAGCACTTGAGCTGCCGCTGCACCCAACAGGATCCATGTCTAAGGCTTGAAAAACCAGCAGGCTGATGCCCAGATAAAATGCAGGGCAATGCATGTCTCCTGACACCTGCACCTCCCAGGAGGCACCCTGAGCATCCAGCCCCAAAGCCAGCAGCCCTGGCACAGCTGGGCCTGGGGCTCTCTCCCACCCTGCCCGAGCTGGCAGGCAGCAGAAGCTGGTCTCCCCGGCTGTGCTGGCTGCACCTCCAGCTCACTCTTGGGGGCCAGCCTGCATTAAAGCCACCAGGCACTGGGTGCCCACCAGTTGCCGTCTCCGCAGGCAGGCAGAGGATCACAGACCCCCGGGGCAGAGCTGCTCTGGACCCAGCTTGACCGGAGCAGCCAGCAGGCTGCAACACACTGGGCATGAGTGCACTGCTGGTGCTGCCGGGGCAGTAGAGGCCTTCATGCTGCTGACCTGGTCCCCCTTCACGGCACCCGTATATATACACCACTTCCAAAGGAACAGGAGGAGAGGTGGGTTTGCCACAAGTCAGAGGGCTAGATATCACACTGTGAGAAGGCAGCTTGGCTGCCAGTCCTTGGCATGCCACTCGCCTGTGGGCAGTCTGCCTGTGGCTCGCACTGTACCAGGGAGCAGCCAGGAGGGCTCCCCAACGGAGGGAGTTTGGCGGAAATGAAGAAGCAAAATCATCATGAAAGAAAGGAGCAGTGAGGGACATGAACAGCATCCCTCTGAACTCAGGCAGGCAGAAAGACACCCTTGCAAGCCAACAGCACTGAGACAAACATGGACAGAAACTAGCGGCAGACTCCAGAGGTGCAGGAAGCTTTGTCAGAGTAAGAGGTGACAGCAACAGAGAGCTCTCACCATAAATAAAACAAGTGAAGAGGCACAAAACAAGCCTGCACAACCCATGGGGTCCCTAAGAACAGCCCAAACTCCCCGAGTAGGACAACTCCCTCGGTCCCAGCTCCCTCCCCGTGATCCCCCACCGTGGCACACAAGCAAGACAAGTCTGCTCCCAGGCAAGGAAGCAAATTTTAATGCTACCTCTGTCAATAATGCAACCAGATCCATAGTTCAAAAGGAGCTTGCTAATTAAAAGCTAGTGAGCTTTAAATAATTCATCTCCTTAACTTGGATTGATTGGAGAGTTTAATAGTTAGAGTCTTGAAACAATATTAAACAGCCTCCTCAAGGCCCAGGTAGCAGGTGACTCTTCCAAGTAAATCTTACCTTCTTGTAAACTTAAATGCTCACAAGTGACAGCGGATAAAGGGCTAGGAGGCAGGGAGAACACCTGGCCACTAATCTCAAAGGGGTGATCCAACATCCCGTGGAGAAACAAGACAGGCAAGAGGGATGCAGCCCTTTGAGTTACAGCCCTGTATACATCCCAGGGAACCTGGGCTGGGAACCTGGGCTGGGTCCCTGGTACCCTTCCACAGAGCTCCTGCCGGTACCCGCAGCCTGCTGCTGCCCCAGCTGGGTCGCCCCACCTCTGTGCTTCCAGCATTCAGCAGCAGGCAGATACACAGTGTCTCAGGCCAGGGACACTTGGCCTATTTATATCACTTTGATCCCTGGTGTGGAGGAACCCGGGGAAACATGGAGCTGTGCCAGTGTGCATGGTGGTCACAGCTGTTTACCTTAGAACAGGTTGTGGGACCATGAAACTCATCACATGTGTGAATAAACCAGAAGATGACTCAGTTCTCCAGCTGGGGCCATGCATCCTCACTCTACAGAGTGAGCTCACGAGCTCCCAAAGCTGCTCTACCCAGCAGCGCTGGACACGCAGGAGCCTCCGTTCCAAGGACGACCACAGCATCCGAAGCAGCTGGAGTACTGGCCCGGCAGGGGACCAGCCTGGGGACCCCTGCACTCAGCCCCAGGCACAGAGCGAGCCCATATCCAACCTCAGCCTGAGCATTGCCAAGGAGGGGAGCAACCCCTCCAGCCAGTGGGATGTGCAGGGAGGAGGCCGAGAGCGGGGACGTGCTCCCCAGCCATCCCTCTTCTGGCTGGGGTACGGGTGCTACCTGTGCACTGTGGACTTGGGTCTGTGCACACGTGTTTGTCACAAACACCCTGGTGGACACGAGGGCCTGGAGATCAGCTGCAGCCTGGCACAAAGACACTGCCTCTGGGAGCAATGGGGAAGCTAACGAGGAGTCAGGGATATGTGGCCCAGACCAAAGCGGAGCACGCGTCCTGCCCACCCTTTCCTTCCACCAGCTGGAGACCCCACAGCTGGCTCTCACCACCCCACCTCAGACCAGCTCTCGGAGCCGAGGCGCATCCCGAGCGCCCTGGAGCAGCAGTCGCAGGGAAGGACAGGGCGCAGGGCTGCGTCACTCACCTATCCCGCTGTGAGGCCTCCCTATGTGCTGTAGGTTCAGTCCTTTGTTCATGTCTAAGAGCCCGTTCTTTGGCCAACTCCCCATGGCAAAGCTGTACGCCTGCAAGAGAGAAGCAGAGGGTCAGACCGCTACACAGCTCGCACACGGACATGCTTGAGGAGCGCCCTGCTGCTTGGAGCAGCCTGGCTGCTCCTCCGGGCACACATGGCATCTATATTCAATACATTCACTATAGACTCCCACATCACCCTCACAGCCCCGGAGGGCAAGCGCTGTCCTGCCACGATCCCACACCATGCGAGCACCCAACGCTGATCTGTGCTGGGTCACGCCATCACAGCATACCCGTCTCCTTGGGTGCTACCCTCCCACCTCCCTGCTGCGACCAGCAGCTCACACCTAGCAGGGGTATAAACAGGCGGGAGCTGATCAGGCAGGAGTAGAAGAAAAGTCGCGGACAACTGCTGACAGCTTGCCGCCCCCTGCCTGGGCGCTGTGCTGGTTCAGCATAACCCGAGGCCACCTTCCCTGGGCTGGGCAGGAGCCAGGGACCGAGAGCTCATCCTCGGGCCGCTCCAACACCATCCGGCCTGCCGATCCTGCCTCACCAAGGAGGAGGTGGCTGGGACTGCACGGGGCAGCTCAGGTCACCAGCAGGAGGCACAGGGGCTTGGAAAGCGGTGTCAGAGCCCAGCCTGGCCAAGCCTGCAGCCCCTTCTCCTCTGGCAACCACCACGCTCCCAGTCTCCCACCTCCCCTCTGTTCTCAGAGTCCCAGTCCCCAGAGTTGCCTTGTGACTCCCACAACTCCTCTGGGCTCATCATCACTGGGAGAAACCCCACCAGGACCTGATGGTGCTACTCCATGGCTCAGAGCCTGGAGCCTGGCCAGAAGGAGCCTGCCACATCCCTGCGGCATTGCACGGCAGGAGTGAGAGGCAGCGGGGAGCCCGAGCGGCATAAACCCACAGGACAATGCAAATCTGAAAGCAGCTGGGCTTCCATGCCCTACACACGTCTGTAATTATGGTCTGACAGCCACATATCTTCTTCATCTTGAGGAATTAAGCTTACTGCCACATTGTGAGCAGTAAGACCAGCGCGTGGGCTTAGCATCGCTCGCGCCGGCACTATCTCTGCTGCCGTGAGGGCCATTGTTCCCAGATGAGATCAGGTCAATCCAGCAGCGCGTATCTCCTTCCTGCAGTGGGGATCATCGCTAACCGCGGCCACAATGCTGCAGGGCATCACCACCACCCTCTGCACTGCTAGGGACGATAGCCGAGGGGAGCTGGGTTGAAAATGTCTGGGGAGATGCCACCTGCAGTGGGAACGGGGCCAAGCTGGGAGAGCGGCAGGCAGGCAAGGCTGATCTCAGCCAGAGGCAAGCTGCTGGGGACAGCTGGAGAGCCAAGGGGCTCCCCACGCCAACATGGGGCACCCCTGCCCCAGGCTGCGACCAGGGGCTGCTGCCACGTCCCAGTGCGGCTGCCAGTCCCTCCGCCCGGCCAC